TTTGTCGCGAGCCGGCATCTTCGAGACGCCAAAATATATCGAGGATTTTACAATTTGCTTTAAGGTCAAATCTCGGTTCCGGTGTTGGGTGGATTCGTGGTTCCATTAGTAGATGTAGAGGGCCAAAAGAAGTGTACGGCCATGGTAAAGGTAGGGTTAAGTCGATTCCAAATGTCTATTGGGGAATTGGCAAGCGTGTACCACAGATAGTACGCAAGACGTCTGGAAAATCCATATAACCTGGCTACTTACCACCTTGTGCAAAATTACACGTCCCGCCAGACTAAGGCCTTGGTCAATAGGCTACCAAAAATCCAGACAGAGGCGGAGTTTTCTATATTAATGTCTGAGCACTTTGAAGGCTTCCCGCCGTCTGGCGGGACGCGTAACTAAGCACACAACGTTAGAGGGCCCTTACAAGACGCTGACAAAACTTTTTTCTCTTCACCAAAAATCACATCAAAATCTGTCCTTGCTAAATTTCAAGTGTGCTGCACGTATCAGCACCCCCCAGGGAATACCTATACATAAGACGGCGAGGATGCGCACCGGGAATTTCGAAAACGACCCCAATAAAATTATAAAGGTACCTGAGTCTTATCCGTGTGGGAGTGGCAACAACTGATATCTACCCCTAAAAAGTACTAATTTAAACACAAAAAAATTGAGAAATCCCGAAAATAAGAACTCCTTCATCGATGTGCTCCAGAGGCTCAAGTCAGATCATTAAAATCGTCCTAGTAATGCTTATTTCAGGTATTTTATTGAGCGAAAAACATCCTAAAAGGGACCAGCTAGGTCTAAAGTTTGAGACACCGTTAAAGATACCAGATAACTGATTTTGACCCCTGAAAGGTACGACACGCATCCTCACCCATTTCCGATAGACTCCTCTCCCCCCAGCCCCACCAACCCTGTCAGCACCTAAAAATGTAATTTGTCAACTCGTAAAATTCACGTGAACTGGTTATTTACTTATAAAAACTTTTAGGCACTGATCTGTCAGATTTTTATGCTGACAAAATCTGTCCTGCTGCGAGGCAGGACGGCTGTACTTTTTTTTGTTTTGTTCGTCTTGACATAATTTGGAAGGGATTAAAATAACTGTACGTCTGCATTTGTTAAACAGACTATTCAAATGAATCTAGAACTCGATGTGTGCACTTCTAGTGCATTAAGTATTCTTTTGTAACATAGCCAGAGATGTATTCTATTTACAAGGCTAAAGGTTAAAAAATTAAGAACAAGTCCCTGTAAGAATCAAACATCTTGGGAAATGAAAGTTTTCAACCCCCCTTCAAATTTTGCATGCAGTTAGGCACTCAGGGGGGATGCACAAAAATGCTCTTTTTGAAGGGCGCAGCGCTCTTGTTGCCATGGTAACAACGGCTATTTGTTCGAAGCCTGGGGCCTCATTTTCATACAAAAACGTCGCAAAAAAAGAGTGAAATGTTTATTTCTCTATCTCAAGCTAAATACAACATTACAAATTGGCACTTCTACCATACATAGTAACATCATTCATCTTCACATTGATACAGTCAATTTTCCCTGGGAGTGAAGTTGAACACACTAACAGATTATTCATTTCGGTGCAGTTCCGGTCATCTTTGTTGTCGAGCAAAACAGGGAAAACGTTTATCTGAATTTCTCCAAAAGTACACCGATTCTGGAAGTGAACCTAACCACATAGCTGGTTATAATATTCTAGTTTTTAAAAATGTTAAAATCTCTGCGGGCCTGCCTCTACTTTCCATAGGAGCAATTCGCGAACGAAGCTCAAAAATCAGATATTGCATAATTTGGCGATGTTTACATCGAATGTTCTCGACAACAAATGTTTCAGAAAAATGAAACATGTAAAGCTTTGAAAGAATGTCATCTTATGAGCAATATCCCGAAGAGAAATCTCACCTTTGCATGTCATCTTTTAAAAAAAAATTGATCAACCTTCATGGAGGAATACTCGACGTAACTACAAACATATACCTCAAATCGTATGCATATCATCCAGATTCCGAGTGCTGCACCTTCTTTCATGGGAATTTGAGCGATCTGAAGTCCTCTGAAGATACACTGTTATACTTGTATGTCATTTGAAACATTTTGAAGTCGGCTGATCTACATGAAACTATCCTCACACCGGTCATTCGTCATAAACATGTACGTTGTCACGATGGCGTGACGCTGTATTTCTCTATGAAGTTTCCATCGGTCGTCCCAAAGAAGACGAGAAATGGACATTTTTCGGTATATTAGCAGATTTCCGCGCATTCTAAGTAAAACCAACCAAAAAAGAAAGAAAAAACCCTCGATTGAACGCTCGTAAACACTGAGAATATGAAAGCAGAAATTGCAACTTGTCAGCGGCAGTAATACATGTAAAACCCAGTCGCCAATTATAGCAATTTGTACGAATCGCGCGAAAATCATCACAAAGTGGAGATTTTGAACTACTCAGTATCCTTGCAGTACAGCAAATGGAACAGGGATTTCGTCACAACCAATCTCCAGAAATTTAGCTTTTTTTTCAGGGAGTCTTTCTTGTGCTCGAACGTTACATTGGCTTTGAACCTTGAGATTTATTTCCCTTGACAATAAAATGCTATAGGACGGTGCTTAATAATACGTTGTCTGAAAGGTGGAATTATGACATTATGGTTTCATTCAATCTTTTATTTCGAACTTTGTTATGATATTTTCTCTAACAAGACATAGAAGGAAATATTGATTTACTCGATTGCACTGCGGCGGTGATAAGTCTCTCCTTATCATATCTTATGCAAATTTTCTAACAGTTTTCTGACAGTTTTCAGATGATTCGAATTATCTTAGTTCCTGTCACAAGGAAATGATAACTGCCCGAATATGCCCTTTGTAGGCAGATGCCTATGTCGTTCAAATTGCTGTTGTTACAACTGGGTTTTTCGTGTAGTACTGTCGCTGACAGGTTACGATTGATACTCTCAGATTCTCAGTGTTTACGAGCGTTCAATCGGGGTTTTCCTCTTTTTATTTTTCGGTTGTTTTTACTTCAGAGTGCGCGGAAATCTGCTGAAATATACGAAAAATATCAATTTCTCATCTTTTTTGGAGCGACCGATAGAAACTTCAGGGAGAAATACAGCGTCACGCCATCGTGACAACGTACATGTCTATGACAAATGACCGGTGTGAGGATAGTTTCATGTAGATCAGCCGACTTCAAAATGTTTCAAATGACATACAAGTATAACAGTGTATCTTCAGAGGACTTCAGATCGCTCAAATTCCCATGAAAGAAGGTGCAGCACTCGGAATCTGGATGATATGCATACGATTTGAGGTATATGTTTGTAGTTACGTCGAGTATTCCTCCATGAAGGTTGATCAATTTTTTTTTAAAAGATGACATGCAAAGGTGAGATTTCTCTTCGGGATATTGCTCATAAGATGACATTCTTTCAAAGCTTTACATGTTTCATTTTTCTGAAACATTTGTTGTCGAGAACATTCGATGTAAACATCGCCAAATTATGCAATATCTGATTTTTGAGCTTCGTTCGCGAATTGCTCCTATGGAAAGTAGAGGCAGGCCCGCAGAGATTTTAACATTTTTAAAAACTAGAATATTATAACCAGCTATGTGGTTAGGTTCACTTCCAGAATCGGTGTACTTTTGGAGAAATTCAGATAAACGTTTTCCCTGTTTTGCTCGACAACAAAGATAACCGGAACTGTACCGAAATGAATAATCTGTTAGTGTGTTCAACTTCACTCCCAGGGAAAATTGACTGTATCAATGTGAAGATGAATGATGTTACTATGTATGGTAGAAGTGCCAATTTGTAATGTTGTATTTAGCTTGAGATAGAGAAATAAACATTTCACTCTTTTTTTGCGACGTTTTTGTATGAAAATGAGGCCCCAGGCTTCGAAGAAATAGTCGTTGTTACCATGGCAACAAGAGCGCTGCGCCCTTCAAAAAGAGCATTTTTGTGCATCCCCCCTGAGCGCCTAACTGCATGCAAAATTTGAAGGGGGGTTGAAAACTTTCATTTCCCAAGATGTTTGATTCTTACAGAGACTTGTTCTTAATTTTTTAACCTTTTACGGGGGTCTGAATGGGGGTACTTCGATAACACTAAACACTTATTTTTTTGACTGTATAACATTAAACAGTTAATTTTCAGCTATTTTAACACTAACATTAAAAAACTCGTTGTAACATTATTTTTTTCCCATAAACAAACAAACCACACCCTAAAAGGGGAAATATCTACCTCTGTTGGGCCTACGTTTATTGTCTCAAAGAGGTTTTTTTGGCCATTTTCCAACAATTCGGGATTATTTCAAGACTTCCGAAGAGTGAGGAAGACATCCGAAAGCTGCCGAAGATTTCCGAAAGCTGTCGAAGATGTCTGAAGGCTGCCGAAGATGTCCGAACACTGCTGAAGATGTCCAAAGACTGCTGAAGATGTCCACTGAGACTGCCAAAGATGTCCACAGACTTATGACCGACGATATTTGAAGACTACCGCAGACTTAGCTTGTATAACTCGTAACAATTCTATTCTTAAAGCGCTTTTACAGCGAGGATTCACCAACCGTGACCACTTAGAGAGAATATATTAGTAACAAATCAGATTACGATATTCAAATCAAACAGCTAATGGGATAGAACATCGAAATAAACAGTAAAATTAAGCAAATTTACGGACTGCCATCCGTTGTATGAATACCTCAGTATAATTGGTTGGCTTTGTGAGATGGTCCCAGTTGGTGTATCTGCACTGTAAACAAAAAGAGATTAATACGAAAATTACAAAGAAAATGAGAGTTAAGATATATGAGTGTTTAAATTTGACTAGTAATGAATGCAATAACAGAATATTCTTTCACCAATAAGATCGGCTACAGTGCTCACAATGTATAATGGTCAACAAAAATGACACTCCATCCTGGCCAAAAACATTTGACTATAATTCATACCTGAATAGTTGCGATTGTCCCACCTGTTTCTAGAGATCAAGGCGGAAATGAGCGCAGGTGGTGCGACCAAATCTGCTGAACGTTATGTCTGTATCATTATCCGCTTCGGTGTCGAATTCATCCTGTTTCTCAGGGAGGTCTGTCACGTCACCAACTGCGACAACTCTTAGCATGCTTTCGTCAACAAAGGTGATTCTTGGTACTTCGTTTTTAGCTCGTGGAATATTTGTATCCTGGTCGACTCGTTCTTCATTGTCTGTCCCTGGATCATCTTAAACATTCTCTTGGAATGTTACTCTAGTACACGATGGCGTACTGGAATATACAGCTGGCGGCAGGGCTCCCGCTTTGTCTTTTGTTGATTCGCTTCTTACCGTCCTTGACAGGTCGATACCTGTCAACCAATTCCTTCATGGCTGCCTCGATGTTGGGGTCAACGTTATCAGCTGGAGGAGGTTTCATCAAATCTACGTCCCGTAACTCCACACTGGATTTAGGCACTGGATAATAAGACTTCTCAAGTGTGAAGTACTTCGCACCCCACTTCGTTGTTCTCTTTAAAGATTCCTTTGAAATTGTTCCAAAGTCTTGAGCATACTGAAGAGCGGTGAAAGTCTCGTTTTTGGAGTTGGAGACTGCATGAAGGTTCTCCACCTGAGTTGTTAGCAGCGTACGCAGGTCAATGTCACCAAGATAGTCCTCGTTTACATTCTTAACGTTATCTCGTAGCTGTTCCATACCTCTTTCGAGAAGCACCAATGACTCCTGTGTTTTGCTGGAAACAGTTCCTTCAGGGCCATTTATTGTTGCCGTTTCTTTAATTTTATAGTGCTGCCTTACTTCAGCGACTGTGTTTCTAATATAAGCATTTACAGATTAAACATTGCACACAGCATCTTGAAGAGATAATTGGACCGCGTCGATCGTATGTGCACCAATTCCAAAACTATCATAGAGACATTCGAGGTTGCGAAGAAAGGACACTTTGCCAGTAAGCCCCGAAGCTAGTTTGACTGTTTCAGCAGCTATATCGGAAACAAAAAAAATTTTCTACAAGGAACAGATTGCATGAAATTGTGTAAATGAGCAGCTTTCTTCAGTTCCATCAATGGTTCCTTCATGGCCAGTACCCAACAAGGTCTCAACCTTTTGATCTTTGTTGTCGGTGAAAACAATGTTGCCCTCATAACCATACCGCCTCCTGATTTCCTCACAAGAATCTGAAGAATTCCGCAAGAGTAGCTCAACATTGACAGAATCGAGGTTACAACCATATAACCCTCCAGCTGCGCTAGTTGCAGCCAAGTATGCTGATTGCCGCAGAACATAAAGAGATTCACCACTTGTCACGTCATTGGAGTAGTTTATCTGTCTCAGCCTACTACCGATGATAGCCACTCCATTTTACTCTAACTCCAGCTGCATTATGCTTCTCTGTTCATCATCTGCACACAAGAGGATATCCTTACTTGCTGCACAGATGGAAGTTGATTTATTTAAAGGTGGGTTAATCTGGACAATTTGTTCATTCAGTTCTCGACTTGTGCAGCTAAAGATCTCAGATGCGTCGTCAACCGCTTCTGTAGAACTGGACCTGTACCCTCAAGTGACAATCTGAAACGACTAAGCTGCGAGAGCAAATCAGCTCGCGATTTCAGGCGTCCGGGTTTGAAAAGTACTTCGCCTTTCAATTCAATGAAACGGATTGCTGATGAGCCTCTCTCTGCCACGAAGACTACGCCATTGGTAAAGCATAGGTCCCGCGCATCCTTCAATACTTCCCTCCGAACATTTACATCGACTGGTCGGTGTAAAAGCAGTTCTACGAGACTATCGAGAGTCGAAATCGTAGTCTAACGCCAGTACTTTGCCTTGGGGCCCAATTTCAAGTGCAATTGGTTTTTTGCAAACACTACTTTGGTTGAATTTCCAGAAGCGATACTTTTCAGGAACTATTGTGTGGATTACCAAACGTATCCCCTTAAGTACATCCAGTACTGAGGGTCTAGTAAGGCGCATTATCGGTTCTAAGGACAAGAGCATTTCAGCTTTGGCTCACTGTTCGCGAGTGATTTTCTTGATTTTCTTGCAGAATTTAAAAGAGCAGATGAAATTTGAAAATCCTTAAAAAAAACTTTGGGGTCTCCTTTCAAACACTAAACAGCATTTTTTTCAAGAACAGTAAACATTTAAAAAATGGCCAATTTAACAGTAAACACTAAAAAATATGGACAAATAACACTAAACACTAAACCCCATTCAGACCCTCTTTTAGCCTTGTATATAGAATACATTTTACAAAGCGAACATTATGGACATAGCCAGAGATCTTGCTATGTCCACTGTTCACGCCTTTTTTTTCTTTTCAAAGAGGCATCAGAATTATTTTCATGTCAAATTTGCAGTAAACTGCTTGCGTGTCATCCTTTGTTTTCAAGGTGTCCGACCAGGTATGACTGCAAATGGTACCTCGCTTTGATAGGAATCCTTTTGTTTTTGCTTCTTACTTCTTGAAATTATCACTTGAATTGAAATTCGCTCGGTAATATAACAAAGAAAAAACAAAAAAAACAACGCGAGTAATGCATATATATTCAAATTCTTTCATCACATAAAAAGTTGTAGGACCCGATAGCATATTGGGGTGTTGGGTGTTGGGTGTTGGGTGTTGGGTGTTGGGTGTTGGGTGTTGGGTGTTGGGTGTTGGGTGTTGGGTGTTGGGTGTTGGGTGTTGGGTGTTGGGTGTTGGGTGTTGGGTGTTGGGTGTTGGGTGTTGGGTGTTGGGTGTTGGGTGTTGGGTGTTGGGTGTTGGGTGTTGGGTGTTGGGTGTTGGGTGTTGGGTGTTGGGTGTTGGGTGTTGGGTGTTGGGTGTTGGGTGTTGGGTGTTGGGCAATAGCCCCCGAAAAAAATCATCGAGCACAGGCTTGATGGAAGAAAGCACATAGTGCAATTGGCAAAAGACCCCCCTGCATCGAAAATCTAATGGTCCATCCCTAAGGTACCTTTTTACATTATTCCAAAATGGGTTTCGTTCCGGAACGAAATGAATTTCATACCGCGTTTACATGCAAGATAATTTAGCTTGTTAAAACAAGTATTACGTACTTTTTCTATGCTTCCCTCGCTCCTAAAGAGGATTCATACTGATATTAGTGTTGTACCGTGTTTACTTTATACAGCTACAAAAGGTCGTCCAGAATAAGTGTTTCGTTCTGGAATGAAAACCTTAATAAACTCATTCAGAAATGACTCGTTTCGAATAATTTTACTCTGGTATCATGTGACAACCGGGATGAACTCGTTCTTGAACAAACTCATTCCAATATCATGTAAAAGGCCCCTAAGAGTTTTTATTCCCAGAGCATCACGCTCTGCTCTCCTGCCAGAACACTATAAATTTCAATAGCGTTAAGGCAACAACCCGCTTTGAACTGCTACGCTGCTACTGAAACAACGATTAGTGACCACAAAAGTAACATATTGTAATATTGTCAATTCAACATAAACAAAAATCTTCATACAGGATAAATATTCATTTGTGTTGGTATCAATTATTGCGTGACCAGCTTATGATATAAATAGGATAGGGGAAAACACAAAAAAGTAATACCCAAACTAATATCGGACAAAAATATTCACCAAAATATAAATATTTCTTTGCCAGCTTCAATAATGACAGGGGATTAAGTTTAGATGATAAAACAAAGGATTATGCCGACAGAAATACCAGAGGTCAAGTAAATTCGTTACATGAGGTCACACAACTCGGGTAATATTCAGGGTAAAAATTTGCATATTTGAGCGGTCGAATGAAAAATATCCTTTCTCGAAAGCTAAAATATATTTTCACAAAAAAACTACACCACAATTATTAGGACACATTGGGCTACAAAATATGAAAATAGGAGAGAAAACGAATGCGGGCGACTTGCCGCTGTTTGTCTAATGCACGTTGACATTAGCTCTTAAGAGCGTGTCCACGATAGCACCAGGCACTCGTGCTACAAGCCATCTCACCGATTTCAGTGAAATTTTGCCAGTTTAAAGGGTCTACCCCAAAACTCAGAAAGACAAACTGGTTTCTGTTTTGGTTTTTTTTCCGGGGGGAGTTAGACCACCCCCCGGTTTTTCTTGGTTTTCACTAAGGAAATCGCTTCAGAATAGGTAAAATGTATGAAGCTCTCACTGCGAGGGTATTTAACCAATTACTCTGAGAGTTTGCACACATATTTTTCTATCCTTAGTTAATGTCTGCGGCAAGTATCAGTCAATTTGATTGACGGCTTGTCAATCATCAGAGGCAAAGAAACGACTGTGTTTTTAGACTTTTCGATTTATCCAAATATTTGACAACTTTGAGGTCAAATATCTCCCCTTGCCAGAAAGTTACAACACTGATCTCGATTCCCCTTTATAACCCATCATTTCATCTCAAAAAACTCTTTGGGCGTTATCGTATTTTTGTCTTAGATGCCGTTTAAAATCTGCGACTGTGACAAGTTTCACTTAACTACACCTGTCACGCAATTCTTGCTTTAGACGTTTTGACCAATACGCCGGTGTCGCAGCGGATTTGGAACCCCGGTCCATATACCCGGGGGGTTCAAATCCGCTAGCGGATATGGACCCCCCTTCGCAGATTTGGACCCCCCATACCAAACTTTCCTTTTAAGCATCCTTTGTATCATATTTGGTAACTAATTTTATTTGCAAGCTTTTTGTCGATGTTCTTTTCAATCACAACTCAACATTCCTCAATAAAGGTAAAAGAAAAAACCAGCCATTTCGTTCCAATTCTACCGCATTTATTATAGCGAGTCGTACAGTATACGTAAGAATCAGATGTGAACAAACTACTACATTCGAACTATTGAAATTGTTACGATAAATCCTTGCTTCTTCTGATGCGAATCAACATTGATACGAAACGTCATAACAATATTGGAGACTACTGCGTCCAGTCAGAAAAATAACTCAGTCTGATTTTCTAAAATAATAACAATGAACAGTTTCTGAACGAGAACGAAGAAACTACTGCTACTACAAGTCGTTCGTAAAGCCTATGATAAGTAAAAATGTTTCTATTCCGAACTACTGGAACTCTCAGCTTATTTTCAGATGCAAATCAACATTAATGTCAACGTCTTAACAAAAATGGAGACTATTACATCGAACTCAATCTTATTTTCTAATTTTAATGATTATTAACTGTTGAGGGATCCAAAATAACACCTTAACAATTACGAAGACGTCTAGAGTCTGGCGATCTGCAGACAATGCAGAGCCACTCGCCCTCCGGGTTAGTCTTAAATCATGTGAAACCATTCCTCGCACAACTCGCACCGAACCATGTCGTCCCAACACTCGGGCATTGAATGATGACAAAATAAATTAGTGTCACAAGTTTGTCTCCTATTGAATCTAGTGGTGTTCGACTATCGCGGAAAAGGTTCAAAAACGACCTCTCTCCAGACATCAAATTAACTCTTGCGCATTTTCCCTTGGTCAAAAGAAACATCCGACGGGATGCCAGTTCGTATGCATTAACGATAAGCATGTTTTGAATGAAAAACATACTTTAGTACGCACTGGAACGTAAAGTATCATCCATTTTTACTAGAACGTTGAGGACGATGTTTTCACTCAGTTTTGTTGGGGGTCCAAATCCGCTAGCGTATTTGATCGGGGGTCCATATCCGCTAGCGGATTTGGACCGGGGGGTCCAAATCTAGGGGGGT